AGATAGAGCGAAGAAATAACAATCTCAAAAATGTCCTCGAGACACTCTTTGACGACCAAAGCTCTGAGGAAGACCAGTCAGAATCTGACAATGAAGAAGTCCTAACTCCTTCTGCAGCACAGTACTGGAATAGCCTTTATGCCCACGCCTTATCTCCTTCAGGAGATGAAAGTGAAAGATCATGGGCGTCCTCAGACGGACAGCTTGAAAGAAGAAGGGCTGAACGGGCAAAGGCTAAGCAGCCACAACCGGCTAAAGCCAAGGCAACTCCAGTCAGCTCACAAGCTGCGCCAAAGGCCGAGCCAAAGGCGACAACATCCAACCATGGATATGATACTGCAGACGCCGCCTTCACCAGGGCTGAGAACAGACTACTCGGAATTTATTCAAGTTCCGAAGAAGATCACTCAGACCCGGATGAGCCACATCCGAACGTCTACGCTCGAGCCTATGATCCAAACCTGGATCCAAATCTGAGATAAGGAAAATCTCGGAGTTTCACAACAGTGACTCACAAAGCTCTAACAAGAGCAAAGTGAAGGGCTGCATAATTCGATGTAGAAAATATCACCAGACATGATCTTGTACAGACGATCTCTCTGACCAACATGCATGAGTGTGTGCAAAAGGAGTGTCCTCAGCAGTGTACTTCAGTGCTATACCTAGCTTAAATAATATGCTGTTTTCATCATGAGTCCAGACTCCGCAACTGTGACAGTGGGCATAATAGTATATGTGTGAATGTGCGGCCATGCTTCCGGTAAAAGAAAATTAGTGTCTGTTTGAAACCATAAACCTCTAAAGGGGTAGCTCTAACAGGTACCTACAGCAATGGCTGCATGCTCATACATATACATTCCGCTGCCCATTGGCTCACAGTGGTTTTACCATATTGAGACAAGACAAGCTCTCCTTGCGTAGCAAGACAAAACAACTACTGTCCGTGTGCAGGGCGCTGCCCTTTGATCCTTAGGGAATAACTGGTCATACACCTCCTAACAAGGAGTATTCCTTGTGGGTGTATCGGCACAGAGGGAGGGGCGGGGGGGGAGGGGGGAGGGCGGGGGGAGGCCTGGGAGGGGGGGGGGAGGCCGACAAATCAGGTAAAATGAGGGGAAGCCGGGCAAGGGGGTGGCAAACGAACGCAAAGCGGGTGTCCCCAAACATTGAGGATTAGGTGGAGGGTACCTGAGCTAACCCCCAAGACGCCTGGGCCTGTGGCCTCGGCGGATTTTTCACAAGTGCTGAACCAGAGGTGGCATGCATTCCGAGCAACACCAGGTAAGTTTCCTTGTGTTTGGGAGCTTGGCACAGGCCACAACCAGCCATGGCGAACATGACCGGGGTAAATCTCAGTGTGCTAGAGAGCTTATACATATGGGCAAACGCGAGGCAGGCTGTAACAGGCCAGAGTGGGAAACTTGCCAAACGAGATCATGGCATACGTCCGTGTTCTAGCTCAGGTGCTGGGCACAAGCTTCATGAAGCCACACAGAGTGCATTCCGAAGAAGACAGGGGTAAAACTAGCTGGCTACGGCTGCTGGATTAGGCCGAGGCGCATCAGTGTTCACTTCCGGTGGTCTGTGACCTTTGGCCTCATGGAATCGTCGCGACTTGGCACGGATTCAGTGGTGCAGTGCTTCTTGCCGCCGCTGTGACCCTCGTGCTCTACCGGCTGCGGGAGCAGCTGCCATCGCTTGATGCGTGAATCATTGGAGAGCCTCTTGGACACGCCGATTTGGAAGACTTTGCCAAGTCAAGAGGCCGGGCGTCCTTGGCTGAAGTATCTCATCCTCGTCCCCTTGTGCCGACTGGCCTTCATCGCATTTTTCATCATCGTCCTCGTGCCGATAGCATCTCAATCGCTCTTTGGAACTGCAGAGGCAACTCTGAACAAATGCCTCACGTCTCATCTGATGCTGCTCGTAGTCCTGACCCCCATCGTGGGTGCCGTTGTCTACGATCTTGGTCGGGAAGTGGTGGTGATGAGAAAGCTATTGCGCGGCCGACAGAGGGCAGAACTACCCACTGACAGGCCTTTGCTGACTCATGCGGTGGTCATTGCGGAATACAAGGAGCCGCTCGATGTGTTGGCGGCCACTGTGGCCTCGCTCCAAGAGCAGACATTGGCACACAACACGATTGTGGTTCTGGCGCAGGAGGCTCGTGATGCCGGAGCGGACGAGACGTTCTTGAGCCTGAAAGCGGTGGCAGAGAAATCTTTCTTTCGTTTCATGTGCACCCGTCACGAGCTCCAACCTGGAGAGGTTGCTGGCAAGTCGAGCAACGAAAACTTCGCGGTCCGTCAGCTCTACAGAAGCGTGCTGGACATGGGCTTGGATCCCTTCAATGTCATGGTTACAGTGGCAGATGCTGATTCCTACTTCGACCGTGTGTTTCTCGAGCAGGTGGAGTCGGAATTTTGGCGTACACCGGACGGTCGTCGTATGCTGTTCGATTCGCCGATCAACACGGTGCGCAACCTGGCCGAGTGCAATCTGCTGGTGCAGTGCTACGAGGTTTACCGCTGCCAGACGGTGACATTCAACCATCTCACCATGCAGCCCTGCCAGTCAAACTATAGCATGATGCTGGGTTTTGCTCATGAGTTGAACTACTGGGATCCGGACAACACGTCCGAAGACATGCACACCACCTTGAAAGCCATCGCATACACAAGTGCACCGGCCGACTGTGTTGTCACTGTCTGGAGCCTCATCATGAATGATTCGGTGGCCGGTTTCCAGGACCGATGGGTCCAGGCGAAGCGACACATGTGGGGTGTGGAGGAAGTTGCTTGGCTCATTTCACTTCTCCCAGTGCTCCGATGGCGGGTATGGTACCGAATGCTGGGAATCACACAGGCGCATCTGCTGAACGCTGCAATTCCTTCGTGGATGATTTTCTGCTTCCCACAGACCTGGTGGGCGCTCATGGATCTGGGGCCGACCATGCTATCTTTGGTGCTCGCTGGCTGCATTTTGCCGTTCTGCTACGGGTGGGTGAAGTTTTTCGCGCGCGAGGCCTTTATGCAAAAGTATATTCTGGGTCACCGGCGCGACATTATGCTCCCCATGGAATGGTGGAGATGGGCCATCCTGGTGCTTACGTACCCGATTGTTCTTCCCATCTCGCGAACCATCTTTGTCACAATGGCAGTCTGGCGTATGCTTTGGCATGCCGTCTTCCACAGCCAGCTCAAATATGTCACGGCCCCGAAGCAATTTAGCCCCAAAGCAGCCGTGGAGATGGGCGCGAGTTTCAGTTTCACAGGCGACGGGTGAGGGAGGACCTGGGCTGGGAAGAGAGGGAGCCGAGATGAACCGAATCCTGCAGCCCGTCCGGCCAATGCGTGCAGCCCGTCCGGCCAATGCGCTGCAGCGGATGGCTGACTGGGTACTTGCAACAACAACTGCTCTCAACGAGATTTCATAGGACATAGGACATAGCAGATTCGAAGTCTGTACGTTAGACGATTGATTGACGCGCGAAACAGATCGCAGGCGAGGCTGCAAGTTGCATTTTGAGCCAACGCTGGAATGCCTTATAAGAGCATGCAGAGTGATGTCGAACGACGTAGAGACTTGGTGAGGTCCAGCAGTCCAGCATGTTCGCTCCGAGATCGTCAAGTCTGCAGCCGATAAGCGAGCAGGTCGAATGGCTGAAGGGCTTTCCTGTTCGTTGACCGTCTCGAAACAGCTCTTTCGTGAAGAGGCCACGTGGCAACCTCCTGGGACCGGATTCGGCGTGGTCCTCAAAAAACGCCGCAAACTCTATCATCCGGCCCTGCAGAAGTGGGGGTTGTGCACAGGTGCTCCAGCACTCGGTCAGGACCATGCCGGCGGCCAGATACACGGTGCAGGTGCATCCACAGATAATAGGCCCAGTCAATCTCGGTCATCGCTGAAAAGGTTGGTCCATGGATCCACCCCCTCCTTCGTTTCAGACGCATCGGTTCGGGACTGCTGCGAACAGGCTCGCCACACCATCAATAATTTCTGTCTGGTGAACCGATACGTGGGCATCGCCGGCTCCAGGCGATCCACCCCATTCGCGGGTCTCTCCAGCAGCATGAATATGATGGGCTGCTCGGCCGAAGCAGCGCATCTCGCCAGTTCGCGTCATGCCTGGCATGGCCTGGCATGGCCTGGCATGGCCTGGGGCCTGGCCTGAGGTTCCCAGCTTTTTGCCGGTGGGCGGCGCATGATGGGAGAAGGAGTAGGAGGTGCGTGCAACCGGATGTGTTGCAGTCCGCTCTTGAATTGGAGCCCTCTGCAGGATACCCAGACCGCATGGTGGGCCAGGGCTTCGTGCAGACACCAGACACCAATCAAGCCAGTGCGCTACTGCAGCTTCGGGCGGAGCGCGCCTGACGGTGAGTCGTCAGCCTGGCCCTTGCAGGTGGAAGCACTCGCATACCGTGGCTTGTCAAGCAGCAAGACCCGGCAAGCCTTCAGGTGGAAGGACGGGCTCGGGGGCCGAAGGACCGGAAAAGCCGGGAAAAAAAGCAAAAGCCGCTGCTGCCAGGTCCTCGGCCTCCCCCTGCTCCAGACGAGGCCGGCAAAAAGGAGAGGAGGGGAAGGGCTCCGCGCGCCCCAGAGTGTCCCAAGATGTCCCAAGGCTCCGAAGGGGATCCAGGCCGGATGCCGTGCCTCTGGTCGTCTCTGGTCCCTTGTGAGATGACTCAAACATGGGATCCACCCCTGTTTGCCCTTGCGATTGTGGCTCAAGCGGTGCCCCTGGATGTGATTAACACTCCACACTCCAGGGTAACACCTTCCTTTGTACCGCGGCAAAGCATGAATGCACAAGTTCGGGTAGTTCTCGGGGGGCTGCGCGGTTGGTAGGATCTCAAGTTCTTACACTGTCCGCTATCCGTGAGGTAACCGCATATCGAACCTGGACTCTCACAGGCGCCGGGTGGATTCTGTGCAGGCGTAACGGAACCGCATCCTGTGCCTCTGCGACCTGTGCGTGACAGGTGTGGGTGGAACTGCAGATGGAGTACTTGCACTACCCGGTTCAGTTCGGCAAGGTTGGGTACGATTCAAGCCGAAGTCTGCGCGAAATCGGGCTGTTGCAGGGGACTGGAACGCGAGAACAGATGTTCTGGCTTTGCGGCATTGTGTTCGTGCAGCGCTTCTGCTGCACGACTCGCGAGTTAGTGTAACAATGCATTAATGCGAGGCCGTGCCCAATCTGTGCCGTGTCTCTCTCTCTCTCTGTGCGTGCTGAGGGCCCTTCTGACAGTTGCTCGCCTGATCTACCTTTTCGACACGCTCGGAGGTGGGACGGAAGTGCAGCAAAGTCAGAGAGAGAGAGGGAGCTGCAAGTGTCGACGGTGATGCCACGTCAGCAACCACTGACTGCAGGCTTCTTGATGGGAGTCGTCGATGCTTGGCCTGCATGCCCTGGGGGCTCTGCGAGGAGTGCAGTGTAAACAACTTTATCGAGTCGTCGCGCAAAGCTGAGGCGTTTATTGGATGGTACTGTGCCAAAAAAGGCATGGACATCACTCTGACCAGCCTGTGGGGCCTAGCGAGCGGACTCCTTTTCATATACGACTTCTTCGGCGCCCTTACAGAGCCTCTTCTGCTATCGAAGGGTCTGCGCATGCGGAAAGGAAGCCATGGAAAACGATGGGCAACCAAGGGTGCAGTTGTGAACACCTTCAAGCTCGACTTCGTCAGAGCATCTCGGACCAGTATGTTAAAGTCGATGCAGACTAGACGGATCCTCCCAAGTCTCCTGTGTCTGCAGCAGCTTTTGCAAGGTTGCAGTCCTGCTTGCCCTTCCACTCACTGACTTTCTGGCTGCTAGCTTCGGGTGGGAGCTCTTCAAGGAACATGCAGCGTGGATCAATAGATTTGGCTCGGCATAGCCGCATACCCGCAGTGATTTCCACCGCAACCAAGGAGCGGAACGGAGGACTTCTCAAGCCGATCTTCGCGGGCGGACAGGCCGTACCTGCAAAGCGGATGGACGAAGAGCAGGGCATCACCAAGCCGAAGCTCGTGCCTGGCTGCAGATTGGTTTTGCACTGCTTTGAATCAACATTCGGAGTGTGAAGGACCTGCATGAGTCCAGGATATATGGAAGGGGACAGAGGGTACGGCGCCGTACCCGCCGCACGCACCTTACGGCTATCCCGGGACCGGAAACTTTGCCGGGCAGGACGGGCTCTTGCAGAACTGGGCACAGTAGCTCGAGCGCATGGCGGTCATTTTCTCCTTTTCAGGAGATGCAGAATGCGGCCGATGGCTTTGCTGCCCGTCGATTCGATTGTCCGGAGACGAAGGCACAGGCCGTCTCTAGACTCTAGCCCTTGGTGCCACATCTCAGGTTAAGCCAACAACCCGACATGAGAGCAATGTCTGTTTCTAGCTAGCGAAATTCATTGCCATGTGCCGCACGACGGCATGATGGCAGGTAGTCTTGTCCCCGCATTCGTGGTTTGCAGTTTCACTGTGGAAGCGTCTTGCTTCTGTGCGAGCTTCTCGCGTGGCACAACAGCGTAAACAATTGATGCGCGAAGGGCTGATGCGTGCCTGACTTCTTGGTTGCTCTTCGAAATCCAAATATATGAGTTGATCAGGCTGCAAATCTCCTGCGTCGAAATCAGTTTCTCGAGGCAAGCATTCTAGGTACACCCTGCTCCCATGAGATTGATGTCGACCCATTGCAGACACTTCGGCGCAAGAGGGCCGCAGCATTGGCGTCGCAGAGGGAGGCCGATGTTTCGTGGTGAGAATCACACCAGAGAAAGACATCAACGGCAGCGGCGTGATATGGTGCTTCCTAGCTGACCGAGGACAGCACGGCACCTCAAGCCGTTGAGATCAAAACTCTCACCACGCTCGTGGCGCAGGCCACCGAGAGCTGCTGAACATGAGCTTCGCGTGTTGTACCCAACTCAATGCTCCTCCGTGTGCAGCGGTTTGCAGGAGCGGTCATGGCTTCGACCTTTGCTGTTGGCGGTCACGTCAGGAGCACAGCGCCTGGCGTGGCACTCGGGAACGCTAAAGGAAACCAAGTGCAGCAGTGCATGTTGCAGTTTCGCGAAGCCGCGAGGCCCTGAGACTTCAAGCCCTGCTTTGGCGCTCTCTGGCGGTGCTGACAGACCCCGAGGCAAGAACTAACACAGAAACCTTCAACAATCAGAAATTTGTGAGATCGTTCAGTTTCGATCCAAGCCGTGCTTGTTTTCTGCAGCGTACCTGCGCCTGGGGGAGGCCTTATTGGAGCCGTTCCGGCCTCAACCGGCCCTCTGTCAAATTTCGGCCGTTGCGGAGCGCGGAGATGGCAGACTCAGGATGTTTCTGGAAGCACAGGAGATGATGGGTCAAGGAGCAGAGTTCCATTTGCTGCCCACTGTGCGGAAAGACCAGAAGATGCCAGGCTTTCCGAGCTCAAGTGCCGATGTCCAGAGCTGGGTGGTGCAAGAGGAGCGCTCGCAAAAGAGTCTTCAGACCCTTGGGGAGCACTGCTTTGTACTCCGTCGAAGGATGGGCTCTTCCGTGCTGCGTTTGGTGCCCATGTGACGGAGCCGTGGAATCGGGAGCGTTTGTATCTCCAGTCAGCGCCCAAGCGCCGGTGATACCGTGCATGTGAGATCGACCTCCTGGCTAGAAAGAAACCCCCAGGCTCGAGCGATCTGTCCTTGCCAAGCCGGGGCCAACCTTGGATGAGCGCGCACAAGAAGCGGAGCCCTCGGGCAAACCCACTGTAATTTCGCACCAGAATGGCACTCGGTTAAATTATATGTCCTCTCGTGGCCCTTGCCGCTCAGCTGCGCTCGGATGAAGATCGCGAGATGCTGGGCTCGGGTCTTTGCGCACCCCGGCTTGCCCCTCTGGAGGACCGGCAGAAGGATACGACACCTTGCGGCCCCACCTCAATGTAAGTCGCACAGGAAGTCTACTGGTTAAATAAGTCGGCGACTCAGTAGCCGAGTAATGTAGGAACCTGATTAAGAAACCTTGGGCTTTTACTAGGGTTCCTTATATGAATCCTACCATTTTGGGATTATAGGCCCAGGGTTTTTCTTAATCAGGTTCCTACATTAGCTGTAGCTTCTTTTCAGCTTCTGGCCGCCCTTCAGCCTCGAGCTGCTTCTCCGAGGTTGGGCCTGCGCTTCCGATCGCAAGTGAAGTCGAAAAGGCGCCGCTTGGGATTCCGACTTCTCCCTTGTGAGCCGAGTGTGAGCGCCGAAACCCAAAGCAAAAAACCCTAAACCCTAAACCTCAAATCAAAAACCCCCTAAACCCTAAACCCTAAACCTTTTCGAGACGGAAAAGGGTCCTTAAAACAAAAACCTTAAACCCTAAACCCTAAACTGCCAATGCCCGTCGTTGCGAGTCGCAGCCGCAGGCGGCATCTGGTGGCCAGTCATCTCTACGAGCTGCGTCTCCCGGAAGCAAAAGAACCATTTTGGGGGGTTCCCTATTATACCTATAGTATAAAGGGCCCCAAAACCCTATTCTAATTATTAAGGCCCCTATATCAAGAAGCTGCAAAGCTTTTTTCCTGGCAGAGTTAGAGGCTCCCCAAAAAGCAAAATCTCACGAAGCGCAGGCCTGGACGTAAGCCGAATCTCGCTGTTCCAAGCTCCACTGGCATCCAGAGACCTGGACATCGCCTCAGAAAGCTTTGCTTGCGTGTGGAAATCTCAGCGTTGAAGTTGCGACCGTGCGACTCAGTCAAGGCACGAAGGGCCAGTTCCCTTGATGCCTTGGACAGCCGCGAGACGCGGGTTGCAGGTGAACTGCAGGCTGCTGGGTTTTCCTCTTGGATTTGATGGTGTGTTTGCATGTGTCCTGTGAGTCATGTGCCTTCCTCGCTGCAGGAACTCTTCCACCGATACCAGAAAGAGATGGAGAGCCACATCGTGGCGCAGCTTGACAGTCGCATCAGTCTCAGAGCTCGGCGCCGCTGAAGTCAGTTGAAATGTTGTCCTCCCGGTAAGGTTTGGACATGCTCGTGGAGCGCGGGAAGGCATTGCGCACCGCCCTGTTCGAGGACCGGCACCTGTCGTTGACAAGACGTGCGGGCTTCTTCTGTCTGGTACTCCAAGGCCGAAGGGCTCCCCAGCGATGCGCAGGCCACGCAGGCCGCCCAGGCCGTGCTGGCCGCGAGAGAAGCCTACCGAAGCAACCTCCAGGCCTGTGGAGCAGAGAAGAGGGCCTCTAGTGACTGTGGTGCCCGGTGGTGCATGATCTCAAGCTCTTCTGGCAGGAAAGGAGGAAAGTGCGGGCCAGGCATGCAGATCGTACTGCAACAGCTTCTCTAAGTCTTCATGTCCGAAGGCGAGACGAGAAAGAAACGCTTTTCGAGCAAGTCTGCAAGAATCTCTACGGCAAATGGCGGGAACTGCGACAAGTGCGACAGGCTGGGCAGTGTCGCCGTCGTTAAATGGCAATTCTGATTGAGTGATACATAGATCGTATATAGGGTTGATGAACAAATAAACGTGAAGATAGATAGGAAATAGGGTGCATCATATATCATAGTATGGGTTGATGCTCAAATAAACGTGGGATCGATTAGGTGTATGACCCCGTGTGACAGGATTTCGGCTTCGTGTCCACCCCGTGGCGCTTGACAGCGCAGCCCCAGGAGCTCCATTGAGGGCTTTCGGATCGAAAAAGGAGCGTTAACACATGGGAGTTTCCGAAAATTGGGGGTACCGTATTTTGGGATCCTTACAGTAAGGACCTACTATTTAGGGTACTCTCGGGTACTTCCTAAGGGTCCCTACTTTCGGAATCGCCCTTATGGGCCTGAACAACTACATGGAAATACTATTCCTTATAAGAACAGTAGAAACTCCCACCCGAAGAACCCTTCTCTGATTAGTAAGGCCAGGTCC